GACATTAGAAAGAATAATGTAGTGGCTGGTACGATAGTATTCTTCTGTTGAGCTCCCACCAGAAGCTCCAGGCTCAGGCCTGGGCATGAGAAGCTCCTTACTTTATATGATTTACATTTTTGTTCAATGTGCAGATTATCCCACAGAAGGCAGAGCAGCACTGAAGTCCTCCTGGGCAATCTTCCTGCATTGTACAGAATTGAGTGCAGTTTTCAATGTTGTCTGTGCAGGGGGGAGGTTCCAAAATATACTCTGGAACACAGAACAGGAAAGAAAGAGTCTAAACAAAAACATGGAGTAACATTCAGAACTCCAGAAGCCCAAGGAGCTGCCAAGAAACCAGCCACCCTGAGCTCCCTTGTGTGGCCACATGGAAGAGGAATAGATTTTTTTTCCCCTTAGCTGTTGCCTTCTACAGAGTTCTCAGCAGGGAAAACCAGGGTTTGGATATTTGATCAAAGACACAGTTTGTTAGAATCTTACATCCATTGGTCATTCACCATCCTTGCAGATCAGATGCCCAGTCCCCAGAAACTTGTTTGGGTCCAGTTCAAGGGAATAAATGGTACATATGGTGAGCAAGAAAGGGATACGTAAATCCATTTGCTCTGACTCATTATGTAGTCTCAAGCGTGTCATAAAGCCTCTCTTATAGTTTAGCCCAGAGTCAATCTACCAGGTGCTATTTATGTATAGCGGAACCAATGGAAGGGAATATTTTGGGAAAGGATGAAGACCACACAGCACACAAAAGGCACTGGCATCAGAATACTAGAACCCAAATCACAAATGAGTTCTGGGTGTGACTTCTTTCATGAGGAGAAGAGTGGGTATTTCAGAGTCGGGCCAGGTTCTGGGGTCAAAGATCAGCTTCTCCTTCTTTCCAGATCTTTGCTGTTCAGGAGAAGACTATGAATCTTCATGCTGACATCTCATTCCCCTCAGCCCCTGGCACTCAGATCAAAGCCAAGATTACCTCCACCAGGAGATTCTGTCCCAGGCCTTCAACTTGCAACCTTCTCTTTGTTTCTGATTTCCTTTCTTTTCTTCTTCTTCATATATATATATATATATATATATATATATATATATATATATATATTATTATTGATTTTTTTACAGAGAGGAAGAGAGAGGGATAGAGAGAAACATCGATGAGAGAGAATCATCGATCAGCTGCCTCTTGCACACCCCATACTGGGGATGTGCTCGCAACCAAGGTACATGCCCTTGACCCGAATCGAACCCACGACCTTTCAGTCCGCAGGCCGACGCTCTATCCGCTGAACCAAACCAGTTTCTGCTGTTTCTGATATCTAAGGCGTTAAGAATGAGCCCCATGAGCCCCTTTATCTAAGCCAGGCCTTAAATGTTGTGTCTTGTGAATTGCCCTTTCTTTAGGAAAAATATCATAGCTGGGTCATTCTATAAGCCCCTGTTGATGTATTATTCTGCAGGAATTTGAAATTAGAAGAGAGTCTATGGAATATCAAAGCTAATCTCAAAAGAATAAGTGAATAAAAGTGGGGCTATAATTGTAACAGCAAATGGCACCAGAGATGGGGTGAAAGAAGCCCAGGCCCAACAACCTGTTGACAATCTGAGTCAGTGCCAGGAACTGGAACTGGTTCCCATTTTGGAAAGGTTGGCTTCCATGAAATAACATGGGGAAGGAATGCATCAACCAGGATCTCAGGAAGATCGACCTTCTCAAGTTTTGACTCCTCTTCTGGGTATCAAGTTGCAATCATAGCCCTTGCCAGTCTTACAGAGAGCCTGTTTGTGCCTATATCCAAATTTTAGTTCTTGATTCTCCAGTTAACTCCACCCTGGGTACCCCCATTCTCATGTAGCTTGCTTAGCCTTCCTTGGTCATACTAACCTTCTCTGAGACCCTTAAAACAGGACCTTGTCTTTCTTGACACATGACATACCACACATATTCCTGCTCTGAGCCCCCAATATTCTGAAGATGTCCTCTCCACAGAAATGTGCAGGCATTTTCCTTTTGGTATTGGTCAAGGTCAACATTACTGTAGCTAGCGCTCTTGTTAGGCTGAGCTGGTCAATGGTGGCTGCTGAGATGGATTACATTTACTGAGTAATAATTATATAGAGCTTTGGATTGATGCTAATCACTGGTAATTGCGTGGGCACCTCTGAGTTCTTAAGTGGAGTTATAAAATGCAAGGCTTTCATTTCTTCCTAAGACATTTTCCAAAACCAAGATTATGTTTGAGTCCTACCAAGTTAATTCTCCTCTCTGCTTTAATGCTTGAAAAGTTGGCCCAAACACCCATGAAAGAACCAGGGCAGCAAGAATCAGCTGGGTGATAAGGCTGAAAACATTTCAGTAGTTAATACTTACCATGGTCCAGTAAGAGTGCTCTGTGTCTGCATGCATTATCTCTGTTTGTCCTCCCAACTACCCCAATATCATTATATTCATCACAAAGGCAAAATCCGAGGCCCAGACACGTTGCCCAAGATCCCTCAGTGAGAAACAGAACAGGCATTCCAACCTATATCTTAATGACAAAATCTGGACTCTTGAACATATGGTGTTTTCTCATGAATCAGCCCCCTCAGATCCCCCATCTCTACAGGTGCTTCTTCCCTCTCCTGGGCCGGACCCCAGCACCTACTCATAATATCTTGCTTGGGACTCGCAGACACCGGGTGTGGTGCTAGAGGAATCAACAGCAGGAGCGGAAGCAGCAGCGCAGGCTTCATGCTGCTGGCAGGATGGGTGGTAAGTCCTGGCTGAGAACTGCAGGGGTTGAACAGGCGCAGTTTAGGGGAAATGAGAAGGAAGGAGGGAAAAGAGAAGGCATGCTGTGATTGGCTTTTTACTGTGTATTCCGATCTATTGGAGGATTTGGCAGAAATCCAAGCACCTCCTAACCACACCCACTCCAGGATATGGTAGCATTTTCAAATCTACACCCTTTTCCTCCGCCTAAACTTAACCTTGTTATTTCTCTCATCCATCTAAGCCTTGTTAATGTCCTTTCACAAAACTTTGCACGTTGTCCACGTCTTTGTTATATTTATTCATAGAGGCTGAATTTTCAAGTGAAATCATAAGTAGTATTGTAATTCTTTAGTTGTTTTCATTTGTTATTTTCAATAATATAACATTATTTTAGCTTCAGATGTACAACCAGTGATTAGACATTTATATAACTTACCAAGTGATCATCCTGATAAATCTGGTACCTACACATACAATTATTTGTATACACTGTATTTTCTGTATTGCTGGAGATGTAACACCGGGTACCATAGAGAGTTATTACAATACTAGAAGTCCAGTGCATGAAATTCGTGCACGGGTGTGTGTGTCTGTGTGTGTGCCTCAGCCCAGCCTGTACCCTCTCCAATCTGGACCCCTTGAGGGATGTCCGACTGCCCGTTTAATGGGCAGTCGGACAACCCTCTCACAATCCAGGAGATTGTGATTGCTGGCTTCCAACTGCTCGCCTACCTGCCTGCCTGATTGCCCCTAACTGTTTCTGACTGCCAGCCTGATCATCCCCTAACCACTCCCATGCCAGCCTGATTGATGCCTAACTGTTCCCCTGCCAGCCTGTTTGCCCCCAACTGCCCTTCACTGAAGGCCTGGTTCCCCCCAACTGTTCTCCCCTGCAGGCCCGGGTCCCTCCCAATTGCCCTTCCCTGCAGGCCTGGTCGCCTCCAACTTCCCTCCTGTGCTGGCTTGGTCACCCCTAACTGCCCTCCCTTGCAAGCCTGGTGCCTCCCAACTGCCCTCCCCTGCTGGCCTGATCTCCCACAACTGCCCTCCCTTGCAGACCTGATCATTTCTATAATATATATATGATCTAATAAAATATAATAGTAATATGCAAATTAGCCACCACTCTGCTATACAAGCCATGCCCACCAGCCATGCCCCACCAGCCAATCAGAGCAAGTATGTAAATTAACTCAACAAAGAAGGTGGTTAATTTGCATATGCGGAGGGAGGGAGGAGTGAAGACTGAAGACAGCATAGAAGGAAGAGGGAAGAAAAGTGGAAAGCAAGGTGGCTGCGGCTGCTGGAGAGAAAGCACTGGCAGCCCGTTCGGGGTGCGCAGCGACCGCAGGAGGCAGTGGCAGCAGGAGGCAGCCAGGGCGGCGCAGGGCACACAGCAGCAGTGAGCACGGCCCCAGAGATGGCGGCAGCTGGTGTGGCCATGGAGGCTGTGGCAGCGGCAGGCGCAGTGAGTGGTGGCAGTGCATGTGGCCTCCGAGATGTGGCCCCAGCGGGCGAGGTGGGGGTAGCGGGAGGGAAGCCCGTTGGAAGTCTTGCAGGAATATTCCTGCAACAGGTGTCTAATATATATATTAGACACCTGTTGTGAGGAATATATATATATATTCCTCACTCGAGGATATATTTTTCCATTGATTTATAGAGAGAGTGGACAGGAAAGGGAGAGACGCAGGGAGAGAAACATTGATGTAAGAGAGATACAATAATTGGTTGCTGGGGATCAAGCCTGCAACTGAGGTGTGTGCCCTTGACTGGAATTGAACCTGGGACTTTTCAGTCTGGGGGCTAACACTCTATCCACTGAGCCAAACCAGCTAGGGCTACATTGCATCTTCTTTATCCATTCATCTGAAGATGGACTTACTTTGTTTTCATATCTTTTTACATATATAATGTTTTTTCTTTATAATTTTCTATAAATTATTTCCTAATTAGAATATAGAAAATATATTTTTTCAGGAAAAAAGCTCTGCTTGCAAAAGAAGAGGGTTAGTTATGTGACAGGAAGGGCAGTCTCTGCAGAAGCCCAGATCCCACATAGAACAGGCTATGGGGAGGGGAGGGGCAGGCCCACTGGAGGACACAAGGACTCCTTGCCCTGCCCTGGCCTGGCCAGTGGAGGCAGGGAGGAGCCCAGAATAACCTGCTCTTTCTTATCTTCCCTCCACCCACCAGCTTCCAGGAAAGTCTGTGCCAGACAGAGAGCCCACTGATCTGGTCAGTCATGCCAACCCAGGCTCTGCTGCCCATCCTGCTTCTCTGTGTCCAGCTGCTGCAGGCCCAGGGAGGCCACCTTAGGAGGAACAAGATGAACAGTAGGTGATGGGCTGGGGGCTGGGATGGGGAGGGGGAAGGAGGAGCTGTGTCCAGCTAAGGATGACCTGGACTTGAACCTTTCAGCACATCCATCTCTGACCACAGGACTCTAAAGACTCTGGGTCCTTCCAAATCATTGCCCTCCAGCCCCCTTACAGGGCCCAGGGACTAATGATGAGGCTGGAGGGCAACCTACATCTTTTTATTCTCCATTCTCTAAGTCCAGAGACAGATGGTACATACAATAGTGAAAGGTGCACAGAGCTGAGTCAATTCTTTCATTTAGGCACATATGTGACAGGTCAACATCCAGACATGTTTGGGGGAGTAGGTCTAGAGTGAAAGAACTTTTGGAAAGCAAAATTTGACATGTCTCAGACCTCACTGAGTTCTCAGAGTCAGAGTGTAGATTCTATGGGGGTGGCTTCACCAAGGCCATGGCTAATATGAGACCAGTGTCCAGGCTGCAGGAGAATGGAAAGGGTCCAGAAAGCTCGAACATTAAACCTTGTTGATGGAGAATGGAGGTAATCAATTGAAGATGCTACCTATCGCCAGGATTTGGTGAGGGGCAGAAAGGACGTTCCCTGAGAGGTCCAAGAGCGTCATGAGGGGACCTGGGTTTTGGAGTCATGATGAGACTTTAAGCTTGAGAGGAGTGCTTTGTGTGGCCTCGTTCCATTGACCTTGCTTCTGTTCCTTTTAGGTGCCGCCAAGGCCTGTCAGAAGCAGCCCAGTGTACAACATTGTAGCAACCACTGTTCATATTTCCTAAAGTGTCCCAATTCAGATACCATATGCTGTTCAACCTTCTGCGGGAACGTTTGCATGGATCTCCTGTGAGTGGGTCTGTGTATTCTGTTCCCCTAGCCCCCTAAAACTGTGCCTGCGACCTTAAATCCTGGGTACAAGGCTGTCAACCTCCTCACTATCTGGATGGCTTGTTTCTGTCAAATAAACCAGAACAAATGCCCAGGGACCTGCCTATTTTATTCCTAGTGCTTGTGATCATTGAGAACCCAGTGCAGACCCCAGCACGCCCCCACCTCTCTGGGTCCTGGTCCCTGGTCCCTCTCCCCTTGTCATGCTTCTCTACTCTCTCTCCCTTTGGCCCATGCACTCTGCCAGGCCCCTGGCGGCTCAGCCCTCTTGTTGCTCTGCTCACTGAACCAGTACTCCCAGGGGGAGAAACTGCTCATGGGTGGCATCCCCTAGTGCGAAAGAGAACATCCTCATCCTGGAGCCACAAGGGCCAAGTTAACCATGAGCGAGGCGGAGGCTAAACCTGGGGCACAGTGTCCGAGGCCCCCAAGGGAGCCTCTTTAACTTGCCCCATCCCTGTCCCTTCCTTCTCCCTCTCCTTGTAAAAATCAGGGAACTATTGCTTTATAATGAAGAAAACGAGTCCCAGAGTAGTTAAGTGACATGCCTAAGGTCTGTCACTTAGAGAGTGACTGGCCATTCATGATATGGCTAGAGGAGGGTGTTTCCTCTGAACTCCCTGTTTGCTCACATCTTCTCCATGTGGTGAGACCATGGCCATGGAAGTGAGTACCTGGGCCAACCCCAAGTTTCCCACTTCATCCTCCACCAGTATGGCCACTCTTTTTTTTTTATTTTTTATTTTTTTTTATTTTTTAATATATTTTATTGATTTTTTACAGAAAAGAAGAGAGAGGGACAGAGAGTTAGAAATAGCAATGAGAGAGAATCATTGACCAGCTGCCTCTTGCACAACTCCTACTGGGGATGCGCCCACAACCAAGGTACATGCCCTTGACCGAAATTGAACCTGGGACCTTTCAGTCCACAGGCAGATGCTCTACTCACTGAGCCAAACCGGTTTTGGCAGTATGGCCACTCTTGACATAAGGCCTGGAGTGAGTGTCAGAACCTAAGACTCCAGCACCTTCCATTCACTGAGCGGTCCCTACCTGTCCCAAATCCTCCTCCTTACACCCTCATTCCCTCTCTCTTTTTTAATCAGGAGGGAAGCCATGGGGGTGGTTCCATTGTGATGCTGCTAAGGATTAATGAACACAGGTGGCTATGAGTCTTGTCCGTGGTCTCATGGTGAGTCAGTGAGAATAATCACTGGGCACAGTCTCCCTACCCGTCTGTGCAATAACAGTTCCTCAGAAATGGTCATGGGGCTAGATCCAGGCACTGAAACTTGTGTGGCCAATCAGGACTTGGCATCAAGTGTGAAAAACTCAAATTACTGCTGGACGCAGGTGTGCAGTGTGACACTCCAGTCCAGTGCTTCCTGCTGGGCACCAATGCAGGAGACATCAGAGGAGGAAATCTGCCTCCATTAGGCCAGAGCCTCTGACCCACCTCAGAAGCATCACAGGGCTCCTGGTATTAAGGATCTTCTCCATCTGTATTAAGAGCTGCTCTTGGGCAAGGGGGCCTTGGGAAAGAGGTCATGACCAACCACCAGCACAGACATCACCAGAGTGGGTAGGTGGTAAGGGATACTCTACAGAAATTCTTATTTGGTTCTTTCTCAGATAACCTCACTCTCCAAGCATCTTCCCAGTGCTTGGCCATGCCTCAAACACCCTTGGAGAGACTATTAAGAGAGGCACGATTACCTCCCAGGGCTCACATAACAAATGACCTCCCACGTCCAAGTCCAGAGCTCCTATCATGTGGAACACTATGGGTGCCAAGCTCACCTATTCTGTGCCCCTGGTGTGAGCACCATGTACCATGAATTATACTGGAAACAGTTGTTCTGACCTGTGTTCCAGAGAGTTCTCTGGACATGTCACCCTACTGCATGGAACTCAGAGACTACCTGGACATCACTGCCTGTTCTGACTTATTGGACAAACTGTGTGCCTCTGTGTTAGGCGGAATGAAGAGTGAGGACTCCTGGAAAACCTTGAATCTTATGGAGGCAGAGGAAGAAGCAAATGCAAATTCTACCATGATCCGATTATCTAAAATGTCAAGTTACAGCCTGGAGAGAAACTCAGATCAGAGCTGGTCTGTTTGAAACCAAACACGTAACTTCACATTTGCCCCTGCTTTTTGCATTATTTGTTCTCTTCCCATGCTTTAGACCTGCTCCTAGTGATTTTTTTCTTTCATTTCTATCGACCAAGAGAATCAGTAGTAGCTTTCGCCCATGTATAGCAACATAGATTCACTGCCTTACCCCAGGACAAGTCATCTCTTTGGCCCTTTGGCAGAGTCTGAAGAGACTTTGATCCCTTGGTATTCCTCAGGATATCATGCCTGTCCATCACACTGATAAATAACATTGTGTTGGCTGACGGTAAGTAACAACAACAGCAGATGCCCTAGGTGCTTTATCGTGTGCATACCAGAGAATGGGAGATGTACCTGGTAATAGTCCAGGACTTGCCATATTGGTGGAATTTCTAGAGAGCTATTGTTAGTCTGGGGCATATATGGATAGTCCCTCTGAGGCAGCAGACAAGTTGCTATACCTGTACTGTCCACCATGAAGGAAGACACAACACTTGGTGGAGCTTTCTGGATTTTGGAGAGAACAAAATCCACTTTGGGGCATTTTCCTTTCATCTAAGTAAACTCAATAGACATAGACAAGGGGATGTAAACCCAATGCTACAATAGTTTTCACTGAGACCCAGAAGGGATGAATTAATCTTCAAGTGCAAGATGGCAGCTTTATTTTTAGAAAACACATCCATCCTTTAGCTCACTTAGTTCTCACAATACCCGATGCAATGAGCTCTATTATTATTCCCATTCATATATGTGATTAGATGGAATTTCAGAGGGTTTAAGTGACTTACCTAACATCATGCAGCTAGCAAGTGAATGGATTCAAGTTTCAAATCTGTTTATACATGATTTAATCCTGGTAGGGTTTGTGTTTTTAAGAATTTGCCCATTTCATCTAAGTTACTTTATTTGTTGGCATCAATTATTCCTAGTACACTCACAATCTTTTAAAGATTTTTTTAGAATGGATAGAAATGTCCTCACTCACTTTCATTTCTGATATTAGAATTTGAGTAGTCTCTTTTCCCCCCTCTTAGTTTATTGAGTTAAATCTTTGTCAGTTTTGTCTATGTTTTCAAAGAATCAATTTTTGGCTTTATTGATTTTCTTATTGTTTTTCTATTTTGTTTGTCTCTGCTTAATATTTTTCCCCCTGCTAGTTTTGGGTTTAATTTGTTCTTTTTCTAGTTCAAATTGTAAAGTTAAGTTGTTAATTTAAGATTTTTCTTGTTTTTATTTACTTATTTATTTTTAAAAATAGGTTTTTATTGATTTTAGAAAGAGGAAGCAAGAGGGAGAGAGAAACATCAATGATGAGAGAGAATTATCAATTGACTGCCTCCTGCATGCTCCCTACTGGGGACCAAACTCCCAACCCGGGCATTGTACCATGACCTCCTGGTTCATAGGTTAATGCTCAGCCACCCAGGTGTGATCTTTCTTGTATTTATTTATTTATTATTTTTTAATATATATTTTATTGATTTTGTACAGAGAGGAAGGGAGAGAGATAGAGAGTTAGAAACATCGATGAGAGAGAGTCATCGATCAGCTTCCTCTTGCACACCCTCTACTGGGGTTATGCCCGCAACCAAGGTACATGCCCTGACCGGAATCGAACCCGGGACCCTTCAGTCCCCAAGCTGACGCTCTATCCATTGAGCCAAACCGGTCCCGGCTCTTTCTTGTTTTTAAATGTTAGCATTTATAGATATAAATTTTCCTGTTAGCACTGCTGTTGCTGTGTCATTTTTGTTTGCATTTATCTATAAGTATTTTCTAATTTTCTTTGTGATTTCTTCTTTATCCGTTGGCTGTTTAATAATGTGTTGTTTAATTTCAATAAATTTATGAATTTTACTCCCATAACTTCTAACTTCATCCCATGGTGGTTGGATGACATCTATCTTTTAAAATCTACTGAGTCTTAATTTGTGGTCTAAAAAAATGGTCTCTCCTGGAAAATGTCTGATATGCACTTGAGAAGAATGTGTTTTCTGTTGTTAGGTTGAGTATTTTGTATATGTCTATTAAATTTAATTGTTTTGTTTTGTTAGTGCTCTATTTCCTTATTTATTTTCTGTCTAGTTATTCTACCCATTACTGAAAGCAGGTATTGAAGTCCCCAGTTATTTATTGTAGAACTGTCAATTTCTCACTTCAATTCTGTTAGTTTTTGCTTCACATATTTTGATGATTGCCATTAGTGCACACATGTTTATAATCGTTATTAGAGGCCAGGTGCACAAAATTCATGCATTGGGGCAGGGAGGGGTGTCTCAGCCTGGCCTGCACCCTCTCATAGTCCAGGAGCCCTCAGGGGATGTCTGACTGCCAGCTGTGAGCCTGACTTCTGGCTGAGTGGCTCCCCCTGTGGGAGCGCACTGACCTCTAGGGGGCAGCTCCTTCAATGAACATCTGCCCCCTGGTGGTCAGTGCACATCATAGTGATTGGTTGTTCAGTTGATTTGCATATTAGCCTTTTATTATATAGAATATCTTCTTGCTATATTGAACCTTTTATTAAGATAAAGTGTTCCTTGTCTCTTATATATATTTGATATATATATATATATTTAATATTATATATATTTAATATATATATATATAATATATATATATATATTTAATATATATATTTGATTTTAGAGAGAGAGGAAGGGAGAGGAATGAAAGAGAAAATCATTGATCAGCTGCCTCTTGCACAACCTCTAATTGGGACTGAGCCCAAAACCCCCAGGCATGTGCCCTGACTGGGAGTCAAACTGGGGACCTCTTGGTGCATGAAGTGATGCTCCAACAAACTGAGCCATTAGGCCAGGGTATTTGTCAATCTCTTTTGATTGGAGAATTTAATCTATTTGCACTTAAAGTAATTGCTAATAAGGAGGGACTTATTTCTACCATTTTGCTATTTGTTTTCTTTAAAAAAAAATAAAAATAAATCTTTTGCTGAAACCGGTTTGGCTCAGTG